CCCTGTCCCCTCTCCTCCCCCTCCCATTAAGTGTTTCATCTTTAGCTAAGGTCCTTTTCTTGGGATTCAAGTGGACCTTTTGAGAGTCCTGAAGGCAGGTACCAAAGTTATTTTTCTTTGATTTTCTTCTTATTTCCTTAAGAATTATTTTTGGAGGAAATATTTTTCAGTTTAAACATGCATTAAGGTAGGGTTTCAGTTCATTGTGCTATACTAATTTACATATAGGATAGTACAGAACACCTTTGTGCATAGCAGGTGATAAACCATGTTCATGTTTTGACTTTATTTTCCATGGGATTAAATTAAATACACCCTTCTGTTAGGGTTTTATATATCAGTATTTCTAACTTAAGCCTAGCTTAAGTTAGAAAATATTAAAGAAAAGAACAATAAGATTTTCTTTCATTGCTGGAAGTGTAAAAATCCCAGTGCTTCTTGTGTAGCAATTTTCTTGCCAGTGAAAGAATGAAGGTAATGAAGTTAAAGAATGTGTGTTTGGCTAAAAAAAAAAAAAAAAAGACAGTCAGATGGTATGGAACTAGGTTGAGAACATTTTCCTTAAAATGTGACTTTTTCAAAATTTGGACTTGTTCCTACTTTGCTTTGGAGAATCCTAGTCAAGTACATGTCTCGTTGCCAAGATCTTCACACAACTGGAGTAACCTTGGTAGGGCCATGTGCTCTGGAAATGGTCAGACTGGTCTGTGCTTTTTGTTCATTCAACAAATATTTATTGAGCATCTGCTGTATTCCAGACACTGCTCTAGGACCTGGGGGCATAGCAGTAAACAAGGAAATATCTCTGCCTTTGAGTGTTCTAGAGGAAGGAGACAGACAAACATAAAAACAGGAATGTTATATAGTATGTTAAGAGGCAATTAAATGGTATGGAAAATAATAAATTAGGGTATAGAGAAAGAAGAGTACCAGAGGAGGGGGGATTGCTATCTGAAACAGTGTAGTCAGAATAGGCCTAATAGAAAAGGTAATATCTGGGTGAAGACTTAGAGGTGAGAGAGTGAGACGTGAGACTATATGAGAGAAAAGCCACTGTAGGCAGAGATTAGCACATCCAAAGGCCCTGGGGTGGTAGCAAACTTACTACATTCCAGGAATGGTATAGAGCTCAAGTGTGTCCTCGAGACTCAGAGCGAGTGAGGAGAAAGGTGGTAGGAATCAGACAGGTAGGACAGTGAGCAGGAGTTATGTAGAGCCCTATATGTTGTCAGGCGTTCAGCTCTTACTTGGAGTGAAATGCTGAGCTAGTGGAGGGTTTTGAACAGAGGAATGGTAAAATTTAGCTATTGTTTTAGAAAGTTTACTATGGATGCTGTGTTCAGATTAGACTGCAGAGAACTAGCATAAAAAGCAGGCAGACTTGTTGGGAGGTGTTGAATTAATCCAAGTCAGAAATAATACTGGCTCAGATTGGGAGGTAGCAGTGGAGGTGGTAAGGAGAGAAGTGATTGGATTCTGGACATATTCTGAAGGTAGAACCAATAGAATTTCCTGATCATCTGGACGTGAAGATGGATATAAAGAATGTTCAAGTTTGGGGCCTGGACAACTAAAAAGGGTGGGGTGAGCTTTAGAGTGAGGCTGTTAGGAGTGTAGTTTTGACCAAGTTCAGTTTGAGATATCTACTTCACAATAAGAGGAGATGTCCATTAGGCCCTTTCAATAACAAGTCTGGATTTCAGGAAGAGGTTGGAAATTAAAATTTGAGATATAACAACACATATAGTATTTCAAGCTTTGAAACAAGATGAGATCACCAAAGAAGTGAGCGATGATGGAGAGATTCAAACATTGGGTCTTGGAGCACTCCAAGATCAAGAGGTCAGAGAAGAAAAGGTGAACCAGCAAAGGAGTGACCAGAAAAGTGGGAGAAAAACCGGGAGAGGTCAGTGTCCTGCAAACCAAACTAAGAAAGTCCTTCTAGGAGGCAGGAGTGATCTACTGTGTCCAGGGCTACTAATGGCAAGAAGGACAAGAACTGAAGACTGACCCTTGCTTTTAGTCATGAGGATGTCACTGGTGAGCGCAGCAGACACACGACAGTATCCCAGAAGTTCAGAGGAGGTCATGCGGATGACTGGTTGACAAAGCCCATGACCGATTGCCCAGTTTTGCAGGCTGGTAACTTCGCTGAGTGAAACACTGAGGGAGGGCTTGCACAGTGCGCAAGATTTGATAAAACCAAATGGGGCAGGACTTTTTCTCCCACCCTTATAATAGACCGTTGGATTCTCAGATCTGTGGAAATGAGGGAAAGGAAAAGGAGGAATGCCTTGAAGGAGCAAGGATGGAGCCTCTGATCAATTCTGGTTGGGGTGTCTCAAGCATTGCCTTTTGAGAAATGAACAGACTTCACTGACTAAACTTGAAACTTTAAAGATGCTCTAGAAGCCATTTCCTTTGCATGCAGTATTTGGGAACTCTTTTTTCCCTCAGTGCAGCCATTAATTTCCATGTGAAATAACAGATAACACTATGTAAAAATTTTTACATCATGTATGTGAAAAAGTCAATATTGGCAAAGAAGAGGATGCAACTGGATATAAAAATTTATGCATATTTTTTCAGGTTGAAGAGATATAAATTTTTCATCAAATGAGGGAAGGTTAAGAACTACTTATATAGAGTCCATGGCTTTTTAAAAAAATGAGCCAGAGGTACATAGAATTATATTATGGGTGTATTATTCTGGAAATTACTATTATTATATTGCTTATTTTAGTGGCCTCATGGTAATTATTAAACACCAACCAGCTCTGTTTTTTATGGTGGGGGGCTGGCTTGTAGTTATGTCCCATTTCTGTAGTATGAATACTTCCATTGTAGACCATTTCAAACTACCAGAGTGAAGCCATTTGGACCTACCAACAGAAGGCACATAATTGACTGTTGGAGCCAGTGGAGACAGGCTCCAACACACCGCTGCATTATTTATGTGCAGATTAACCCTGCTTCTGCCAAAAACAAGCAAATTTAAAAAAAAAACTAAAATTAGGAAAGGAAAATACAAATGTAAAGTGTTATATAATTAACATACAGTATATAGTGTATGATGTATAAAGTATAAGATATAAAATATATTAAATGTCATAATAATATTAAATATTGTAGACTGTATGGATCACAATAAACTGTGGAAAACTCTTATACCAGACCACCTTACCTGTATCCTGAGAAATCTGTATGCAGGTCAAGCAGCAACAGTTAAAACTGGTTCCAAATTGGGAAAGGAGTACGTCAAGGGTACATATTGTCACCCTGCTTATTTAACTTGTATTCAGAGTACATCATGCAAAATGCCAGGCTAGATGAAGCACAATCTGGAATCAAGATTGCCGGGAGAAGTATCAATAACCTCAGATACGCAGGTGACACCACACTTATGGCAGAAAGCGAAGAAGAACTAAAGAGCCTCTTGATGAAAGTGAAAGAGGAGAGTGAAAACGTTGGCTTAAAGCTCAACATTCAGAAAACTAAGATCATAGCATCTGGTCCCATCCCTTCATGGCAAATAGATGGGGAAACAATGGAAGCAGTAAGAGACTTTATTTTCTTGGGCTCCAAAATCACTGCAAATGGTGACTGCAGCCATGATATTAAAAGATGCTTGCTCCTTGGAAGAAAAGCTATGACAAACCTAGACAACATATTGAAAAGCAGAGACATTACTTTGCCAACAAAGGTCTGTTTAGTCAAAGCTGTGGTTTTTTCAGTAGTCATATATGGATGTGAGAGTTGGACTGTAAAGAAAGCTGAGTGCCAAAGAATTGATGGTTTTGAACTGTAGTGTTGGAGAAGACTCTTGAGAGTCCCTTGGACTACAAGGAGATCAAACCAGTCAATCCTGAATATTCACTGGAAGGACTGATGCTGAAGCGGAAACTCCAATACTTTGGCCACCTGATGTGAAGAACTGACTCATTGGAAAAGACCTTGATGCTGGGAAAGATTGAAGGTGGGAGGAGAAGGGTACGGCAGGGGATGAGATGGTTGAATGACATCATTGACTCAATGGACATGAGTTTGAGCAAACTCTGGGAGTTGGTGAAGGACAGGGAAGCCTGGTGTGCTATAGTCCATGGGCTCGCAAAGAGCAACTGAACTGAACTGAACTGAAATATTGTACAATTATATTTTCAAGAAGTGTCACAGAATAATCTCAGGAAAGCAGGGCAGAAAACATATTTGAATACATATTACATGTGGCCATATGTCACACACATTATTTAATTCTCACAACTCTATAGCACAGGTTTATTAACCATTAGTTTTAAACTCAGGGAGATAGTGAAGAACAGAGAAGCCTGGAATGCTGCAGTTCATGGGGTTGCAAAGAGTCAGACATAACCTAGCAACTGAACAACAACAAATTTTTTAATTGACCATAGGTTCAGACGGGATAATCCATTAGATCACAGTCACACAGACAATAACTATTAGAACCAAGACTTGAACCTCATCTACCCAACCATTCCCCTAAACCAATGATGGAAGTTCAAAATATTGTCCATGGATTAGTAGGATAAATTCTCATGTTAATTACCACCTCAGTGGCACAATACTAGTATATTAATTACCTCCTGTATGTTAAACTGAATTATAAATTATTACATGAAAACACTTATTTTGATGGTCAAAATCTTGTAGCATATTTATCTTTCTTGGATTATACACATTCTCCAAAATTATGAACTCCTTTATCAGTACTGTAGTCAAGTCGTTCATTGACTCTAATTAGTTTCTAGAATAGTACTCAAAAGGGAAATGAGGGGCAGAATAAATTCAGAGTATGGGGTTAACAGATACAAACTGCTATACATAGAATAGATAAGCAACAGGGATTTACTGTATAACACAGGGAACAGTATTTAATATATTGTAATAATCTATAATGGAAAATAATCTGAATATATATATATATGTTAGAAGAGAATATGATGTTCCTTTTTAACATTCCTTGATGTTGCATTGCTCTCAAGGCTACTACATGTACATCGAGGCTTCCCACTTGGTATATGGACAAAAAGTGCGCCTCTCGTCCAGGCCTCTACGAGGAGTCACTGGAAAACAGTGCTTGACCTTTTTCTACCACATGTATGGAGCAGGGACTGGCCTCCTGAATGTTTATCTGAAAAAGGAAGGCGGCAGTGAAGAGTCTCTCTTGTGGAGAAGAAGAGGTGAACAGAGCATCTCCTGGCTACGGGCGCTGATTGAATATGGCTGTGAGAGGCAGCACCAGGTGAGCCAAGGGAGACAGAACCGAATGATGGGAAGCGCGCCTGTAGGCTTCTGATGCTCTTTCTTTTTCTTGCTGCCATCAAGACTGTTTTGTTCTTTTTCAGGGTCAAAGACAGAGGCAGTACTTGTTTAAGAGTAAACATAATTAGTCTATATTGATTGAACCTAAGCAGTGAAAGGGGAATTAGAAAGAGAAAGCTTTGGGTATTTATACATAGAGTAATTTTTGCAACTCAATAGTGAAACTAGAGCTATTTTCATGTTGGTACATTTTGAGTGTCAGTTATATTTTGTGTCCTGAAAACCTCCAAAACAGAGCTTCTCTTTCTTCTAAACCTGGTATTACCTAATTAGTTGTTGCAGCTGCATCTTTCACTCATCATTAGCCACATGCAAGGGCTGCTGTTGTAAGCTTCTGTTTAACAGAGTACATGATCCAGTGTACATTTTTAAGCCTCTGTCTGCACTGATGCAGAAGAAACTGAATCTTGATCCTATGTCCTTGGCCTGACTTGAGGCAGTAGAAGATTTCCTTCCTGCAGGATTCCAATTATAAGGGAATCTGAGCAGCAATAAGAAGGAGACTTTTCAATTCCAGTGGGTGAGATCAAGCAGCCAATTAGCCTAGAAGTCAGCAGCAGCCTCCTAAAAGCTTATAACTTTACCTGCTGGTTGTTTTTCTTTAGTCACTAAGTCATGTTTGACTCTTTTGTGGCTCTGATGGCCTGTAGCCCACCAGGTTCCTCTGTCCATGGGATTTTCCAGGCAAGAATCTGGAGTGGATTGCCATTCATTCTCCAGGGGATCTTCCTGACTCAGGAATGGAACCTGTGTCTCCTGCATTGGCAGACAGGTTCTTTACTGCTGAACTAGCAAGGAAGCCTTTACCTGCCTACCATGAGTCAAAGCTCCAGAAAGCTCTGGGCAGATAACATTAGACCCTTGACTATCCCTGAAATTGCTGTACAGAATTCCAGGAGTGACCTTCAGCTAAAAGCCCTACTTCCTCCTTATCCTTTCTTCTGGACCAGAGCACTCCTTAATGTTGACCACTGGCTGCTTGGCTTAAGCAAGTCTTCCTAGGAAGAAGTATCCAAAATAAAGACATTATTTTATGCCACCCCTTAATCAAAATTGATTTTCTACAGATCCAAATAGGAATGGCCAGTTTGCAGTGTCATCCAGGTTGCTATTGCTAAGAACAAATGACAGAGGGAAGATGCGCCATTATTCAAGGATGTCCCATTATCTTGGTGTGGATAAAACATTTAGTAAAGGAAAATATATAGCCCCAGGAATAATTTTGATAGTGATTTAATGTCTGCTTACAGAAAGAAAATGGATCACTCATGAACTTCCTTATATCACTGATCATCATTCAGAGATGATGGATTAATTTTTTTAGGTTATCAGGGCACTCACACTATTCAAAGATTCTCAAGGTGTGGTCCTGACACCAGCAGCAACACCTGAAATGTATATTCATCTAAAATGAAACTCACCTGCAATTCACACTCTCAGGCCCTGCCTTGGAGCTACTGAACCAGAAACTCTGGGGCTTAGGGCCCTGAAATCTGTCTTAACAAGAATTGTGGTGATTCTGGAGCATTCTAAAGATGGAGAACCTGTGTCACAGATGGAACAAATCTGAGTCTCTCAGGCAGAGCCTGAGCATTGATGTTTTTTAAAACCCCAAATGGTGCTGATGCACAAGAGCGCTAGGATTTGAAATCTGTGGAGCAGGTGACTTCACAGCATCTGAGCCCTGGGTGTAGGTCCTTGCATATATTAGACTTGCCAGGTGACTTGTTGTCTGAAATTTTTTTGAGCACAAAGTAGTGAGGCCCCTGGGGTGGCATCTTGGGATATTTAAGCTCAAAGGGTAAAGAATGACCTGAGAGATTTTTGGCTCCCAATTTGAGAAAAAAGATTCCAGATCATTCCTTTAGGCTTAGAATGAAACAGATATGAATCTGCCAAGAGGAATGTTCTTCTTGATTTTGTGATTCCCTCAGGAATCCCAAATGACTATCTGGAGACCAGGATGAACTAGTTTCTCCAAAAATCTTAAGTGTCTAATAAAACACAGAGACACCCATGTGCAAATGGTCATCTTCTATGTGCCAAGTACTCACAGTGCTAAGAGCTGTGCATAAGTTCTTTCAGCTGATCTTGTAGCTCTTCTTTAAAGATGGGGAAAACCAAATGTCCAGCTGGTAAGTGGCAGAGTGAGAACTCAGTCCCAGATCTAACTGGTTCCAATGTTTGCATCCCTAAGTCCCTGTTTTACACTCCCTCCTGCCATAGAAGTCCCAACATACACTCATCGCCCTGGATGTCACAAGCACTGGGTGATCTTGGAGGAACGCCAGTCTCTCTGAGACTGTTTGTGTTAGTTACTCATTCATGTCCAACTCTTTGCAACCCCTTAGACAGCAGCCTGCCAGGCTCTTCTGTCCATGGAATTCTCCAGGCAACTATAGTGGAGTGGGTAGGCGTTCCCTTCTCCAGGGGATCTTCCTGTCCCAGGGATTGAACCCTGGTCTGTCGCACTGCAGGCAGATTCTTTGCCATCTGAGCCACCAGGCAAGCCTGTTAATACATTTTCAAAATGGGGTGATAATGCCTGCCATGCTGACATCACTAAAGTCACAGTCAAATGAGATGATGTTTGTGAAAGGGTTTTATAAACTTTAAATAAAAAGATATAATTGTTTCTTAAAATGTGTTCTTTCCCAAATCTTTCTCGTCTTTATAACCATGGCAGACCTGGTATTCTCAATAGCTATATCAGTTATCAGACTGAGCTACTATAGGAGCTCAGGCCAAAATATTTCTCTTCACTAAGTATTTATTGACCATTTACTCTTTTTAAGTGCTGAGGATATTGCAATGAACACAGCATACAGTTCTTACACTTTTTAAGTTTGCGTTCTAGTGGGGGGCGGGTACAAAATGTGAAACAAAAATATATAATGTAACATCAAGTGATAGTAAGTGCTATGAAAAAGAGTAAGTCAAGCTGATCAGGTAATGAGGTCAAAGAAGTATCAGGAAATACTCATGAAAGGCCTTGGATCACATGGTACAGTTTGAAGTTTATTTCAAGAGCAATAAGAAACCATTAGAGGCTTTTAAGGTAATATGTTCTGATTTATACTTTTAAATGATCATTCCAGCTACTACATGGAGCTCCTTACCCCATACTACAGACTATGGTGGTGTGGGTGGTGGGCGAGGAGACTTTGGGAGCTACTGCAGTGGGCCTGGCAACAGACATGGTGGGTGGGGCTGTGCAGCAGAGATGAGATGTCATCAGAAAGCCCACAGGACTGCCTTCCTTGTGGAAAGTGGGGTTTGAGAGAAAGAGAGGAGCCAGGATGATACCAAAGTTTTGGCCTGAGCAACTGCTAGAATGGAGTTGCTATTTATTGAGATGAGGAAGACCTTAGGTGGAACAGACCTGGAAGAGGGAGGGCAGCTTATGCAGGAGGCAAATTAACAGTTACTATTGTTTTTAACACACATGGTTTTTGATCTTACTAGACATCCAAAGTGGGTATGTCAAGTGAACAGTAGGCTATGAGCCAGGCAATCAGGAAAATGCAGAGGACTAGAGAAGTCAAGTCAATCTGTACATCATCAGAGAGAGTGGGCAGGTATAGATGATTTTTAGAATACTGCAGTACTGCTGCCATTTGTGATTTATCCTGTAGGGCAGCAGTCCCCAACCTTTTTGATACCAGGGACCAGTTTTATGGAAGAAATTTTTTTCACAGATGGGGGGATGGGATAATTTCAGGATGATTCAAGCACATTTATTGTGCACTTTATTTCTAATCTAATGCCACCACTGATCTGCCAGCATTGAAACATCTATATTATCATATGTGAAACAGATTGCCAGTCCAAGTTCGATGCAGGAGACAGGGTGCTCGGGGCTGGTGCACCAGGATGACCCTGAGGGATGGGATGGGGAGGGAGGGGGGAGGGGGGCTCAGGATGGGGAACACATGTACACCCACGGCTGATTCATGTCAATGTATGGCAAAAACCACTACAATATTGTAAAGTAATGAGTCTCCAATTAAAAAAAAATGACAGGAGGTATTAGTCTGCTGCTTGGAGGTTGGAGACCCCTGATATAGGAGAAGTATCTGGGTGGCCTCTGGATGATATTCCAGTCATCAAATTTTCTTTGTAGAAAAAAATGTATCAAGTAGCAAAATTTTAATCATGTCCTTTCCTAAGGGATTTATTAAAGTGCTAAGCAGAACCTGACTCACTGTTGATCAAAAACACAGAATGATTTTATTTCCTTTGAATTCCTTGCTTACCTTTCCTCCTTTGCTCTCAGGTGTTTTCCTCCTGATTTCTTATCCTTTGATGTCACTGAAAGAGAGTGTTAGACAAATTCTCAGCTCAGTGAAATATTTCTATCATTCATATTGTTCATTATACTGCCTGACATTTAGTAGGAATTATTATGTGCTGGGTACTGAACTAAGACCAGGTCTTCAAATTTTCTTGCTCATGGTGCCCTTAATCTCAATAATTTTTTTTCCTGGTGCCCCTGGACCAAAAGATAGCTAATGTTCCCTTTATCAAGTAGTTGAGTCAAAACTGTAAGTATTTATGTCCTAATGACTTGAGCTTCCCAGGTGGCGCTAGTGGTAAAGAACCCCGCCTGCCAATGCAGGAGATAGAGATGCAGGTTCAGTCCCTGGGTCAGGAAGATTCCTTGTAGAAGGGCATGGCAACACACTCGAGGATTCTTGCCTGGAGAATCCAATGGACAGAGGAGCCTGGCGGGCTACAGTCCACAGGGCTGCACAGCATCAGACAGGACTGGAGCGACTTAGCATGCATGCACAATGACTTAGTAACCATTTGAAAATAAAATACACTTAAACTGAAAGAAAAAGTTACATTTTTATCTAATTCTAAAATAACCACAATTATTTAATAGAATTTTTACAAATACAAATAGGCGAATAATACAAAGGGGAAATCATAATGCTATAAAATGGTTATCACTCAAATATTTAGGAAATTCAAAGGAAAGAGTTGTATGAAATCAAGGTTTTGGCCCAACCACAGACTATTCAGAATATAATTCCATGGTGTGATTTTTCTGTTGTACTTCCATTGCAGAGTTGGAGGTTAAAAAACAGATTTCATTGTTGTCCAGAAAACCAAAACAGTTATTAACTATATTCATATATCCTCCTATCTAGATGTATTAGAACACTTTTTCCTCTTCTTACTATTTATTTGAATTCTTGTTTAGGGTTATATCTTTAGAATTTCTATTAATGTTATCTTGCCACGTTTCTGTTGTTAAAGCTTCTTTGAGTCATTAAATTCAAGATAGTTTCATATGCTTATTATTTATCCACTTTATATTGTTAATTTAATTTAAATCATGAACTAGTCCAATGGGGAATAATTTGCTCATAAAATTAGTAGAGCAAGTGTGTCTTCTGGACAATTTTCATTACCTACAAGCCTCCCTGGAGTATTCCATGGTTTATTAGCTATTATTAGAGTGGTTTCAGAGCTGATAATATATTTTCCCTAGAACCTGAATATTTGATCAGTTATTTTCTTATAGGATCTAAAGTCGTGAAACTGGTTTCCTCTTTTTCTTGGGCTGTGTCTTGGATGTTATGGTATTTAACATGATCAGTGAACCATTGTCTTTTTGGTAAATTTAACTATTATACAGTGCTGCTCATACTTGGGTCTCATCTGTTGTTTTAATTCTCCCGCCTAGAACTAGTGCAAAGGTAGATTTAGGGAGAGACTACGGAAGCTTAAGCTTCTGGGCCCCTCACTTCCACAGGGCCTGTGAGTGGCAGGAGTAGAATATTCTAGGTAGCAAGGGAAAACAGGTCACCACCTAGAAGCATTTCTATGTGAACTTTCCTGGGAAATTGCCTAAAGAGGTCTCAGAAGAAAGGAACTTGAATTTCCAAGGCTCCAGTAATTTGTTGTGAATTTCTTTACATTCCAAATAAGTATTCCCTTTTGTACCTAAATTTGAATTGGTGATTTTGTATTCTTTTCCTGAAAGTGGGCCCCTGAGAACAATCTAAGCTTCCAAACCCACACAGCCTAGATCTGCCTCTGACCAGCATTGTTTTAGCAGGATGACTCTATTTCTAAATTCATATTTCATTATTTTTCAGATAATTTTTGAAGCCATTCGGGGAATGTCACTAAGAAGTGATACTGCCATTGATGATGTTAAATTTCAAGCAGGATCCTGTGCAGGTAACAATATTTTTTCAAATTATTTAAGTTTGACTGAAAAGGGAATTTGCAGTAGTTTCAAATCATAAGAATGCGAATTCAGTATTTTCTACATTAAAAATAGAGAAAACTATATTGTCTATTTGTCTTTCCTGACAGAAATGGAAGATCAAAGTCAGCAATCATCAGGATATTCTGAGGACTTAAATGAAATTGAGTATTAAGCAATGATCTGAATCGGATTAACTAAACAAAAGCCATACCTCTCTTCAATCAAAATGAAAACAAAATAATACTGGACAGTCTTAACCATTTCATAAGTTATAAAATGACTTCAGAGCACTCTTTTTCATTACTTTTGCAAAATATACTGACTCAGGGCTTTTTTTTTTTTTTTTTTCTTTTTTGCCTATGACAACTGTTACTAGAAGTACAGGCTGCTGGTTTTACCTAGATCATACATCTTAACTTTGGTACCAGTTAAAAATACAAATGTACTATATTGTAGTCATTTTAAAGTATACAAATAAAGGGCACAATCAAATGAGATGTGCTCACTTAAATCTGCATTCAGTGAATGTACTGGGAGGAGGACAGGTCTTGTGGGTTTCCTTTTGAACTTCAAGTATCATAAATATTTTTAAAGTAATAATGTGTGATGTCAGTAATATCTGCAGAATGAATGCAGTTTTTCATGGTAACAAGTTATTCTAAGAAAAGTCTATTTTCTATGTTTTATTCATAGAAATGGAGTATTAATTTTTAAATATGTTTACCATATGTGATAACAAAGGATCTTTCTTCAGTGTTCCAGGGTAAGTCAGTATTAATTAATGCTGTATTACAAAGCAGTGCTACCTTCTTTTTTCTATTTTTGAAAGTCATTCTGAACACTTGGATAGAAATTGCACTCTTTTTTTTTTGTAAAGCAAGCTTGAAAATGTTTATGTACACACACCCCTAAATTTTTCTAGTGTGTTAAACAATTTTACTGATTTTTAAAATAAATGTTTTGGTAATGTTTTGAGTTATATGAATTCAAACAGATGTAGTAAACTACTATCTTTTATTTACATGTTTAGAAAATTATATAGACATGTTTATATATCCAAACAGCTATTATGAAATTATGACTACCTAATAAAAAATAATTTGAAAATCTCTCACTAGCAAGTAACCTTCTTCAACATATTTTTCTCTCTGTTTTTAAAAAATTTCTATTTTTATTCTTTGGCGTGGTTAGTTCCCTGATGAGGGATCAGCACAAAGTCTTATCCACCAGACTGCCAGGGAAGCCCCAATATATTTTTTTGAATGAATATCTTCACTGTATAACTGCTGATTCTAATTTGAATCTCTTCTCTGCTACAATTAAATGCTTCTTAATCCTTTTTGTTAGTGGCATAAGTACTGCAAACATAGATACATAATTAATTTTTTAAAAGTGTTTCAATTCACATAAGCGATCTCAATTTTCTCCAAAATTGTATCGTATTAGAATGTAAACTCTGTGAAGACAATGGTTCTATAAATGAATGAAGTAATTCACCAGACTCTGCTTACAGATTACATAAACCCATGGTAATGATCAGCTTCCCGGGTGAAGCAGGGGTAAAGAATCTGCCTGCTGGCACAGGAGACACAAGAGATGAGGGTTTGATTCCTGGGTCAGGAAGATCCCCTGGGGAAGGAAATGGCAATCCACTCCAGTTTTCTTGCCTGGGAAATTCCATGGACAGAGGAGCCTGGCAGACTACAGTCCATGGCGTTGCAAAGAATTGGACACAACTGAGCAACTGCACATGCACATGTGGTAATAATTATTGCTAATATGTATTGAATATTTATTATTATCAGACATTGTTCAAAGAGCTTTACATGAATTTCCTCAGTTAATCCTATAACAATCCATAAGGTAGAGCTAGTGGTGGTTGTTATGTTTTGTAAGTAAGATATTAAATCTGTTCAAGTTCAGCAACTAGTATAAGGCTTGTCTTTGAACCTTGGTTTCACTGTTCTTTAAAAAAGAAATGACAGGCCCAAAATATAGTTGCTTGTACTAAGTCCCACATCAGCAGACCAAGACTTAATAGCTAACCTAACTGCAGTTATAACCTCCCCTAGGATTGCAGTCTTAACAGATCAGTCTGGAATTTTCTGGTCAGCAGCAGTGAGGTAATCAGCCACATAGACCCTTCCCATCCCTAAAAAGAAGATGAAGTAATCCACTCCTCCTTTTCCCTTTCCCTTCCTGTCTACAAAAGCCTTCCATTTTGTAGAAATCCTTGGAACTCTTCTCTACTCACTAGATGGGATGCTGCCCAATTCATGAATTGTTCAGTAAAGCCATTATATCATGACAGTCGACTTGGTTGAATTTTTACTCAACACTGCCAAACCTGTGTTCTAATCCTCACAAGACTGCCTCTGAGCCTCCCAGCTTCGCTACCAACTCCATTCCCAATACCTAAGGTTCCAAGTTTCCCACAGGCAGGAGGATTTATTGGCTACCCTGGAGGTTGCCAAACCAGAAATACTACGTGGGACAACAGCTTTGGGAAGTGGGTGGGGGGAGCTGTTGGTGGTAGTGTTGCAGGAACGGGGACCCCTTCCAGGGCCCCAAACTGGGCTCTTGTCTAACACTCGGAATGAATTGTCCGAGGAGACACATGTGCTGACAAAGCCAGAGACTTTACTGGGAAAGGGCACCCGGGAGGAGAGCGGGAGGGTCAGGGAGCCCAGGAGGACAGCTCTGCCAGTGGCTTGCAGTTTTATGGTGATGGGATTAGTTTCCGGGTTGTCTTTAGCCAATCATTCTGACTCAGAGTCCTTCCTGGTGGTGCACGCCTTGTTCGGCCAAGATGGATGCCAGAGAGAAGGATTCTGGGAGGTGGTCAGACAGATGGTGTCTCCTTTAGACCTTTCCAGAACTCTTCCATTGGTGGCGGCTTATCAGTTCTGTGTTCCTTACCAGGACCTCCTGTTGTAAAACAACTCATGCAAATGGTTACTATGGTGCCTGGCCAGGGTGGGCGGTTTCAATCAGTGTGCTTCCCCTAACAGTAGGGGTGGGAAGTAGAGGGGGTAGGGGTTGGGGGCTAATTATTGACTTAGGGCAGAAAGAAAGGAAGTAACTATTACCATTTGTTGCTGAAAAACAACTTGAAGTTCACAGAAGAGAAGAGAGATGAAAGGTGAGCGGATTTACTTATCCTCTCTCACTTACTCCCCCTTTTCATGTTTCAGTGATTGGATGCCATTCTTCCTTTTCAGGTTGCCCTTGGCCTTTATTTTAACTATATTTCACCTGGATGAAAATTTGCAAAGTATCGTAAGCACAGTATAGTTTTCTCAGGTTCAGAAACGCCCCTGAGAAAGGCATACTAGCTAATAAATACTGCTTAACCATTTAAACCCAGTGTTAGCATTTATTCCAGTTCTCACCTAAACACACAAGTGCTTCAGATGGAAACTACTTTTTCACACAGATTGCCTTTTCTCCTATAATTTGCTGTTTGTGTTGGAAATTATTTAGAGGGGAGCAAAGGAGAGTCTAAGGAAAAAAGGGCTCTGATGCAAGGTCTGGTTAAATGAGGAAGAAGAAAATGTTTAACAAAGATGTATTAAGAAATCTATGCTCCAGGTATTATATTAAGCATGGAGATCACAAGGGTCCTCATACGTCAGCAAGGAAAAGAGAGATCTAAACCTGTTACCATAAGCAGAGTGCCAAATTGGAGAAACCATATTCCCAGGGAGTGCTTAGGAAGAGCATCCGAGAGGGAGGGCAGGCCAAGCCTCCAGCTTCAGTCTGGGCAGAGCAGACAGAACCAACACTAACACAGTGTTCTGGTGTCTGGATGTCTTCTGTCACTCTCTGGGGCCTAAGGCATGGGCTCTCTGACTTCTCATGCAAGGGACGTGTTCTCCAGTGTGATTTAATCAGAACAGGGGAGTGGGGAGAGTTTCTGTAACTGACCATTCTAATATTATGGTATTTTCAACATGTGGATTACTATAAAGAGATGAAATACAATGATTAAGTGCACAGTTTCCAGATTCAGGCTCTCAGTTTAAATCCTGGTTTTGCCACGTACAGGATTTGTGACTGAAAGCAAGTCACTTCTACCATCTCTGACTCCTTTCCTAGTCTGCAAAATGGGACAGCAAAATATTCATCTCTGCTTGATAAGGGTGCTGTAAAGATTAATTTAAATGAAAGTGATACATATGAGTCCTTAGTATCTGACACACAAAAGCATTTCTAGTTTATAAGGGTTGACTGAGATTTTTGGATAAATCACAGTTGTTTTTATATAGCCTTTCTCTACAAAGGAATTGTGAGTTTATAGTGCCATCTTAAGGATAAAGCAACCATATGCTCTTGTCATTTTTTTTTTTATTATTTGCAATTCAAGGTTCATTTTAATCATCATGTGGGCAATGCCTTTCACTTTGCTCTTCCTACTCCAGCCATTGTAAATGGTTCTTCTGTGCTGCTTACCTGTATTCATACCCCTCACAAGATTTATCATGCTAAACCTAAATTCTTGCTTTTACATCCATCTCCTCAAGATGGTAGCATATTCAGTTATGTACCTATTCTGCCTAGCATATTCAGCAAATATTGCTGAACTAAATAAACAAATTCTCAATAAAAGCATTTAGTTTAGTACAAGTACATATGTTGATTCCAGAAATTATGAAGGATGTAAGGATTCTCTTTGGCTTATCAAAATTTCATGGTCTGGAAATCCATGCACTAAAAGTTTAACTTAAAAATATGTCACTGACCAGTTGGGGCACCTGGTAGAAACAAATATAAAGATTCTTTGGAAGGCCACACACTCAACCCAGGCTGTACAAGTTTCTTACATATTAAATCACATGGAAGGGCTCATAATACAAAAGCACAAAACATTTAGTGAAACAATTCACTAGAAGCACAAATCAGATGTCAACAAACAGCAGAATTAGATACCCAAGATGTCATGGCCCCCTTCCAGCTGTGTCATCACTCTAACATCTGCTTTCATTATCCTATCTCCTCTGGCTCCCTCCCTCTTCTAAGGACCTTTGTGATTATATTGGGCCTAGCTGGATGGTTCAATATAATCACCCCATTTCAAGATCTTTAATCACATCTGCAAATTCCCTTTTACCATGGGAGGTATTATATTCACAAACTCCCGAGATTAGGATGTGGGCATCTGGGGAGCCATTG